TTCTCCTCTTTCGCTTCTTTCTTCTTTTCCGATCTTTCGCCCGAGCTCGAGTTACGCGGGTATTCGAACGTGCGTAAGAGAACCGCGTTCGTTTTCTTCGTGCTCGGACAGTGGGGCAGAGACGAGACTCGGTCGTTCCCGTGCTCTCGTTTCCACTATTTCCCGCCAGTCGATCCGATATTCGATCGACAGACGTACATATCGCGATGACGCAGACCTCCCTTTGAAACTGCGTTGCACGCAAGTGGAATATGCCGACCTGTTTCTCGCAGCCAACCAACTTTCCTCGCGTTCCTATTTTCCAACCAACGTCACCCTATTCTTCCCCTCTTTCGCCCCATTTTCCCATTTCAAAAGTTCGAACTCTTGGGAAAGTTTGTCCGGGGTCGCGAAGGAATCGAACCATCATTCTGTCTCTCTTTTCTCTTCCTCTCGCGCACCCGCTTATCGCGCCATCGATTTTTCCTTCCTTCCTTCCTTCCTTCCTTCCTTCCTTCCTTCCTTCCTTCGTTCCTTGGTTGCGTCGCGTAAATACGGCACCGGGGGTAATCGAGGAATTTGCTAAACGACGAGAAAGCCCGTAAATAACGGTATTTACCGGGATAGCGAACAAGTTCCGTGTTAATTATCGGGCACGCGTTGCAAAAACCGAAGGAAGCCCGTGGGTCGCGAAAGGGCACCGTAAAAGTGAACGTAAGCGTGAAATGATCGAAGAGCGCGCACGTAACTAGAGAGCTGCATTTAACGTAATCCTTAATTGGAGCTTGCGCAACGAGCCATCGAGGCACACGGGGTTCGTTCTTTTCTATTCGATTCCATTCGATTCCACTCGAGATTCCGACTATGGACCGACCGTGTGCCAGTGTTTTCCCCACCGTCGAAATTCTTCGCGCCATTACGCTCCGCTCTGCCCGCGCCAACTCCGCTCGCGATTGTTAACCCGTGGACCGTAGCGGGACACGTCATCCTGCTTGCTCCTTCTTCCAACTATCGTTCATTCTTCCGTGGATCGGGGCATGCGTGGATGCGTGTAGCGGGACACGTCCGAGTACGTGCTTCGTGTACAGCTGTTCCGATGATTTACGCGTCTGTTGATCGACTTAAAACGCGCGGTTCTAACGTCTTTCATCCCGCGGACCCCCGCCGGATTTCCAGGGGGGGTACCTACGCTGAGGCTCGTCGCGAGTTTTCGCCGTGTCCTTTAACGACCTTGAACGATTCGCGCCACGCGGGTCATTGTTCCCGCTCTCCTTGCCGTTAAAATAAACTCGCATAAACAGACGCGTGATACACGGTTTAAAAATGTTGCCAGTGACCTTGGAATACCTATCTAACCGACGCCTCCACTCGTCGAAACGCTCGTAACGCGCGCTACGCTATTTTAAACTTTTCCAATTTAGATTCGAATTTTCTCCTTTTCTTTCCTCCCTCTCTTTCTCTCCCTCCGACCTAGGGTTATTTAAATACGTAATTCGAGCCCGGTCGACGGAAATAATTGGCTAGAAAAAATAGCCAAGCGTTACCGCCGAGCAGGTAGAATCGTGTCGGCTATCTACGCTCTAGAATCTCCGGACAACGCGACTTTTTTCCACGCCTCTGGCCGTTGTCACGCTGCTGGAAGGTGGAAACGATAGCGATTAGAGTCACGAAAGGTACGAAGGAAGTTGGCCAATGGCCCTCGTTTCGGATTCGGTTTAAAAACGCCGAGGGAACGGGGCACCGGTGTGTTCCATCGCGGGTATCTGATCGGGAAGTGGCCGGAATAAAATGCAGATGCAGTCCAGCCTGTTTTCTGTCCAACTTTTTCTCTCCTCCCGTGTCTCCTTTTGCTTCTTTCGCCGCGAGAGACGCCGGGAAGAAATTCTCGATAAAAGGAAGAAACAGAGCCGATGAAATTGCACGGTCAAATTGCCGCGGAGACGAAATATCGTGGGGAAATACGAGGGAAGAAAAAGGAAGACGAATATCTCGTTGGCTGGAGGGAACGACGACGACGACGACGACGACGACGACGACACAACACGCGTGTGCATCGTTCCCTTTCGGTCCGTGAGTCGGAACGAGGGGAACGCGAAACGGACCGCGACGGCGCGGCGCGCGACGCGCGTAGGTGGGGGCGCGAGATGAATCGTGGTCGAAGTTGGCGGCGCGTGGGGAGGGGAAGGTTCGCGTGTGTAGCAGGAGACCGTTGCGGTAGGTCACGGGAACAAAATGGCCGACGGCCGGTTGCCCCAGCAACGGAATCGGGCGGTGCCGCGATGTCCCGCGGAGGCGGAGCTTCTCCCTCGCGGCGGCCATTGCTGATCCCCACTCCGACAGGTATCGCCGCCTGGCGGACGAATGTCCAACTCCCGGACCTCGTTTTCCCCGCGCTTTTAGCGGACATTCGTATGACCGTGTGTATTCGATAAAATCAAGGGCATACGAAAGATTTATTTTCCCTGCCTCCCGACCGCTTTTCTTTCCTACCTCCTCCGGATAACGAAACCAGTTACTCGTTTCTCCGCCGATGTTACGCGCCTCCTATTTATTTCCCCCGTTATTCGTACAATGGCTCCCGCGGAATTGTTTTGAAAACGGAGAACAACACCGTTGCATACGCCGGTAGAGAAACCGGTTAAAAGGATGGTTGAACGATCAGTGGAAGGATTCGAGGAGAAATACTCGAAAATGGAAAATGGAAAATTGGACACGTTTGAATTTCGTTTACCGGAATCTTTTCCGAGTAACGTTTTCGGACGAGAAATATTCCGAGCTGGGTTTTTCCAACGACTTTTGTAAAGCGAACGCGAACGGGAGGAAGGAGAGCGCGAGAAGCGGGATGTACGACCTGTCACTGGCGTTCCGCAATTTTACTCGGTATCACGATGTATCATCGTCGTATAAACATCGGACATTGTCGCATGGTAGGTGGGACATTTCGCGCGGATATAGCCGGTGCAAAAAGAACGTGAAACTCGAAGAGACGGTTGGCCGTATAAAGCGTGGAACCCTTTCGAAAAACATGGGTACAAGCGCCGGCCTCGGCGACCTAGCAGCGCCGATTAATGTTGATTTATGTATTAATTGGCTGACGCGCCACGACCGCAACGGGTCACGCGTGTGCTTCGAGTTCGTTGCGCTTGATGGGAGGAACGGGTGGATCGTGGCAGGCTTGCTCGCGCTCGTAAAGTCGAGCAAACGAACGACGAACGAACGGCGAACGATTGCTCCGATTGATCCCCGTTAAATCGCGCGTCGACTGGAGGGAAGATCGCGATCGGCTGTTTCGACGCGTTTGAAAATCGTGGAAAGACGGGTTGTCACTTTCACCGGCTTGCTCGGCACAGTGATCGCGTTTATTAGGCGACGCACAGGCCGACCTTCGATTAGCGATCGCTCGCTCGTCGCTGTTCCCTCGCGTCGAATTTATCGCGTTAACGAAGACCCGGAGAGTAAACCGACCGTGAGAATTCCCCCCCGTCCCCCGTCCCCCCTCGATCACCCCTTTATCGCCGCTGTTGCTCGTGATTTATGAATAATGGATATCGTTAATCGGCCAATATCGAGCCTCTGTTTCACGCCTCTCGTCTCCCACTTTTCCCCTCCTGTCGCTTGTTTTTCACTTTTTCCCTTTCTCCTCCCCCCCCCGTCTCGCCACAGGGACACGGAGGAACGACGACGACTCGGTCGCGATATCTAAGATTCGCGCGGATAACAGACACGCGGTAAAAGTTGGCTTTATCGCGAAACGGAGAACTTTAAAACGTAGAAAGGTCAGTTTTAGACGCCGGGTAGCGCGCGCGCACGATTAGAAGAGATAGGCGTTGAACGGAAAAAACGAGGTCGAAAGGACAAGGTTCGCGAAGGCGGAATACGCGGCAGACTTTGCGATGCGTTGGACTGAGCGGGGAACAAAGCGCGATTGAACGGCGGTAGACGGGCAGTGTCATCGAACCCTGGTGTTGGAGAAACGCGCAACATGAACGAACGTCTTTCTTGCAGATCCTCGTAGAATACGACGACGTAGAGTGGCAAAGAAGAGAATGGCTATCGCCGCACAGGGACGCAGTGTTCTCGTTCTTCTTAGTGGAAAAGGGTCTATATTGGGCCGAGCGACCTGACCCCAGGCATGCCAGCCTCATCGCCATCGATCACCACAATCACGCGAATAATAACCACCACCATCATCGTATCAACGGGAAACCCCTGAGGGGTGCCACTGCTGTCGCGAACACGGTTGCCTGGCCGGCTCTAGTAAGTGCGCCTTGTCCTTCGTTTCATCGCTACCTACCATCACAGCTTCTGCCATCGCCACCCCTCGCTTTGCCCTCCTTTCCCCTTTAGCTTTATCGATTAACCGACTCTTCGCGCCGCGACATCAACCATCGGGACGTTTCGCTCATCAGGCCTCGTCAGGTCGAAGCGCCCTCCATTCCCACGCGTCTCGATGCAATTCCCAAATATCCAGGAGTTTACGTGCACCGAGGGTCCGCGATCTCGCCGATGTTCGATGCATCGAGCAGCGGATCCGACGCGATCGTTCCATCTCGCGTTCCATCTCGCGTACCATCTCGCTCCGCGCGAGATTTAGTCGTAATTAGCCGGAACTTTAAATCGTCTGTCGCGTTACTCCGTCACGGAGCATCACCGGTTCGTCCTCTCTCCGCGTCTCAGACGCGATTCGGATTAAACCCCTGCAACGTGCGCGGATCGCTTCCGATTCGATAATTCGTATATCTCGGTACCTCGGTCCCATCGATTTTATCCCAGGATATGGGACATTTCGAATTAATCGTGGTTCAATTGAAACTCACTTGCAGACGTTTTACCCCCTGGTGGCGCGTGCAGAGTTACCGGAAGACGCGATGCCTCTCGAATTCATGCAAGATCGAAGGCTGGATTTCGTCGATTACTCCAAGCTGAAGCCGTTTACCGTGAGTATTATAATGCTTCATTCTCTCATCTCCTCCTCACCCAGCCCCTCCCCCCTGATTTTCTCCATGGCTGCGATGAATTTCCACGTCGCGAGGAAATTTTACCCTCCATCGTCGAAACGTCGACGCTGATTAATCGGACGGATGTTAAATTCGTTATAACGTGGCTGGATTTTATTTTTCTCTCTCTCTTTCTCTTTCTCTTTCTCTCGCTCTCTTGTCATATTTCACCGATAAGGCGCGCTAGGATCCTTGGCCGATTAAGTGCCACGCAAGTTTCCTAAACCGACCGAGCCACTTCGCAACTGGAAACTTACTTCGTTAGAGCGCCGAGGAAACTTGGAAGCAAGTTCCGAGGCTATTGACCTATCAGACAGCCCTCGGGGAACCGTTGCCGTGACTGCGAGTAATCTTTCGAGGGATCCCGATCTCGACTGGTGACCGAATATCGCCTTTAGGTCATCCAGGGTCACCGCGGTAATTCCGAGACCCGTTGGATTAGAAACCGTGTCCTCGCGCTTTCCACCCTTTCTCGGACTTTTCCCTTCTCCCTCCGACGATTTTTAACCTCGCGAATTCGTACACTCGGTTAGACGTACGCGTTCTCCCCCCTGCCTCCGCTTCGCGGGATCGATCGATCGTATTTTAAGATGCTGCTCGTCCCGGCAAGAAACACCGATGAGAAACGATAAATCGATCAGAGCGGGTGCATTCTATCCGACACAGGGATGGCGGCCGAGCGTGCTTGAAAAGTTTTTACGTTCGAACGGGCGGTCGCGGATGCGGGGAATTGTTTCCAAGTAATTAAACTAGCGGAACTTTTACCGTTAAAAGTTTTCCCCGGTTCCCCACGAATCGCGCGAGTCGTTCACGTGCGGCGAGAGAAGTTTCACGGAAGACCCGTGGTCAGGATCAACTGCACCGCAGTTTCGTGTCCCGATCTTGCCCGGTTACGCGTTAAAGACGATTACCGTGGAATTAGTTCCACTCGATGGGGAAAATGGCGCGTCTCGTTCGATGGCCCTAGTGTTCCAGATCGGCGCAGACACGCGCCGCGATCTTATCTTCCGCGCCGTTTGGATCGCAACCAATTCCTTCCTCTTCCTTCCCACGATCGTGGCGAAGGTCAAGAAGTAAATAAATAGGGAAAAGTTAGCGCGTGGTGGATAAAATAAACCCGTGAGCCGACAGTTGAACTTCACCGCGTTACGCGCAAAAATAGAAGAAAAAAAGAATTAGCCCGATAGGGCAGAAATAATTTCACCGTGCGACATCGGGGTCAGTGGAAATCGCTCGTGCTTGGCCATCGCTGGCTGCGCGTTCGATTATCGATTTCTGATAGCCGCAGCTGCACTTTTCCTTCGCTCCTCGGCGATAAAAAAAAAAAAAAAAAAAAAAAAAAAAAGAGGAGGAGGAAAGAACGGGGGAGATGAGTGGCGAGCGAAAGAAGAAAGCGGGAAAGGAAAAGGAGCAAGAAGACGTAGGAATGTTTGGAGGAAATAAAGCGAAAAGGAGGAAAAGAGCGGGGGAAGAAGGGCGCAACGGATGCGACGGAGAGGAAAAAGGAAAAGGAGGAAACGACAATGGGATAGAAGCGCAGCTGGTGAAAAAGGGGCGAAAGGAAAAAGAGCCGAAGGACGGAGGCTGTGCAGCGAAGAAGAAAGGTGGAAAGAAAGAGAAAAAGAGGGTGGAGTAGAAGCGGAGTCTCGGTAGCTCGGAATTGGTCGGCCGGGCTGGACCGCAAAAGAGCGAAGAGTCTGCTGACCCTGAACTATAAATGCAACGGGTTCTTTCTGCCGGGTGTTTCGAGGCGCATAGCTAGCAACACGCATACCGAGGGGGCCGTGTAGACGCGCCGACACGTACGCCCGGAAAGAAGCGATCACGTGGATTCGTTGGCGGCTCGCGTGAAGCTTCCGAGTCGCTTTGCTCTTGTTTCCCTGGCAGCTGCCGGTTTGGTGACTCGTGTCGACACCGCGCGTGCACCAACATCGGCGAACGTTGGAGAACGGCCAACGCGAGGCGCCAACATATTCCCGTTTTGCCTAACGGTCCTTGATAAACCCCGCGACACGGCATTCGCCTCTTACCTTTCCTCCTCTTCTTCTTCTTCTTCTTCTTCTCCTTCTTCTCCTTCTTCTTCTTCTCCTCCTTCTTTTTCTTCTCACTCTCTTCGTCCTCTTCCTAGATCCCTTCGATTCAGCTTTTGCTATCCGATCGACGCGTCGACTGAACGATCGTCCGTTTTCTTCCTTTTTTCGTCAAATCGAAAATATTCTCGGATATTAGCGCGGACGAGCGCGAAGCGGTTGGCGATTTTAAGAAAGAAAAGCCGTTCCCGCGGTTGATAAACGTCGAGTCGCGATAATGGGAACAGGGTTTCGCGTAGAAACGACGTTGATTCGGTGGCTCGGTGGTGATATTACGTGGAACGTCGGGCAAATCGTCGGGGAGCGTCGTGGCGATTGTTAAGTGCTCTCGACGCTTCGGTAATAGCGTTATAATTGCCGTTATATTACTACCATTATCGTGCATCACCGTCGTGCCTCGCGCCGTGATTGCGCAACGCATCTGACGTAACGGCTCGATCATGACGTAACGAGACGTTGACGCAACGCTTCCTCGACGGACGCGTGTAATTCGTATTCGTGAGAATATCGGCGGGCAAAAATCTCGCTGAAACGAGTCTGTCGCTAAACTTTCAGAGGGTCCGAATCGTTACGTACTCCCCGTGTTTCACGATTTCCACGTGGCTTCCTTCCGATGATTATTCGTCCTCGCGACGTTCCGATTCTTCCCTTTTTCTTCCCTTTTTCTTCCCTTTTTCTTCCCCGTTCGTTGGAACGAACGAAAGCGAAAAAATCGATTTCACCGAGATCGGATTCGCCTCGTCGGCGAGGCGTGGACGCGTAATGAATCGCCGGCAGAGAAGAATTAATCACCCAATTACGCGACCAAGTATCGTATCGGATACCGCCTAAAGGAAGCTGGATTTATTGGTAGAAAACGATCGATGCCGAGGCTCTGACGTCTCTTTCGTCTCCTCGTTCTCCTCCGAAAGACGCTGGATACTTTCCTGCCTCCGCGTAACCGGAGCAACCGGGTTAACCGAACGAACTAATTTAAAGGGAAGGGCGATACACGCGCATAACGCTGTCCCCCCTCGATCGATCCTGTCTCGATCAGGCCCCGTAACGAGGCTTCAACCGATCCTTGTTTTTGCAGCAGGACTGGGAGCTGACGAAGGGCTCGGTGCCCTGGGCAAGCGCTGTCAGGCGTTGGGCAGAGATGCAGGACGGACAGAGAATTTTGCTGACCACGCCGAGCGTTCTAGTTGGCTTCAGGGTCGAGGTTTATCGGGCCGAGGGCACCACGCAATGGTACACTGCCGTCATCGTTGGTTACAACGAGTCAACCAAGGTGAGCTCGTCTCTCCGAATTCCTCTTCCCTTTCGCCTTCTATCCCCTGCCTACCGGTCTAACCACCGGTTAATCGATCGCCGAATGTTCGCCGTTCGACGCTCGAATAAATAAAGAAACTTTCACTTTCCACCACATCCAGTCCTTTGTCGTGGGTTACGCAAGATCCGGCATCGCCGATCGGTCAAGCTCGTCCACGGGGATCACCGCGATCGTCTCAACTTAACGAGACGTTAGTCGATCGACCGGGACAATCTTTGATCCTTAAATTGGCAGATACGCCAGCTCGTTCCGAGAGCTCTCTCTCTCTCTCTCTCTCTCTCTCTCTATCTCTCTTTCTCTCGCTGGAGAGTAGCAAACATCTGCCTGCCAGAATTATAAATTGCTCGGGAAAAAGATTTATCGCTGTTCGGAAGTAGTCTAACGTTTCAATCGATGCCCTCGAGCGAGTTTCGCAGTCGACGCGAAAATGAAAGATGCTTTCCTTGTCAACGACGCGTCACTCGTCGTCGTGGCCTCGCTCCAAAAGGAATTTCGAGTTCGCCGCGTTTATACGAAACTCGACGAATATAGGCGTGGATCGATCGATGCCGGTTACCTCTGATAAATTCCTATTCGCGTGTTTAACGTAACGCGCGTGATCGATCGTTGAAAATCTGTGTGCAAAAAAAGAATGGAAACCGTTTCGATGGCTTTGTTCACGCTCGTTGCGATGCAATTTCAGGACTTGACCGTCACCGATGACACGGTTCTCGAGGATCACAACGAGGACCCCAGCTTAGTACAAATGCGGCTGATTGGCGACGGAGGTGAGTCCGCAACTGACACTGGCTATAAATACTCGCGCGAAAACGCGAATATCTCGGCGAATCTGTTCGGGGGACAGAGAGTCGAGCCGATTTTTCCGTCTCGGTATTTTTAACCAGCCCGTTCGCGGTATACCCGTGTGTACCTCGTCTTGAATCGAATTCTTGAAAAAGTGCCATGGTTTTTTATCGAGGGAAGATAACTCTTTCGCGAAGAAGGAAAAAACCGAGATGGAACACCGTGTCAATTTTAACTCGTTCCTTTTTCTGCAGTCGTCGAGAGCATCATGAGAGGCGAGGTCGTCGGCATGACACCGAGGAGGTCGAGGTCATCGACTGCTCTGACGCACGCGCTTGTTGTGGTGAGTGAAATTCAATTCCGTTCTATTATTAAATCGCTATGTAGTTTGCGATAATAAACGGCAGGGACGACGCGTCATAGCGCGTTTTTCGTTTCACACGCTGCACGTTCGACTCCGTTCAAAAGCGAAACCTGCAAACCTCTATACTTTGTTACGCCCTCGCGATCCAGTCGCGTAAAGTAAACTCTCGATCCCGTGGGAGGCGCGGGACCAGGCGAGAGTCGGATCGTTTACGCGAGATTCTTTCCAACGAGATGGTTTAGCGCGTTTCGCAAAATCCTCGGAGATTGCACGATTCCGTGGCAGATGGTACGGAAACGTTTGGAAAGACCGCGACAAGATGACTCGTGGTACCGTTAGCTCGATTAATACCTGTCCGAGATCGTGACATCGCGTCCGTAACTTTCATCGACGAGGGAGGCACAGAGGGTCTCGAGTCACGAATCGAACAGCGCGATAACCTCGTGCGAGTAAACATGTAGCTCCTGTAAAGATAGCTCCCCTCTGTTCGCTCTAGAGTCGCTCGAGTGGAGTTTATTCGACCGACAAACGATAGAGTCACCGAGGAAAATGTGTCTTCTCGACAGACGAACCTTTGTTCCTTGCCTCTGCTCGCTTCTCCACTAATCATCGGTCGACAAAAATCGATGAAACCGAGTTGGCGCGTACAGCAGGATAAAAGTCGTTCGACGAGTAAACAAGTTTGCCACGTACACGGCTTGAAAATTCTTTCGTCCTTGGGCACCACTTTCGCACCTGCGAGATAATGAGCAATGTAACTTTCAACCTATCGCACCACGTGTTATCACCTTATCGCTCATTGCCGTGACATCGTTTCCGTGGTATTTTTATTTTTTCCATCCACACTGAATATACACGCGCATATACACGATATATATATATATATCGGCATGCGCGAGATAAGGCACGAATCGTGGTAAATCTCGCGGTTCGGAGGAAAGAGAGAGGGAGAGAGAGAGAGAGAGATGGTAAACGAAGGGAAAATAAATAGGCGAGATGGAAGGGAAGACATTTGGCGAAGCCACGTGACTCTGTATGCGAACCAACTGCTTCCCTTTAACGCGGGAAATCAATAAAGTCGTGTTTGCGGCACCCTCGAGCTTTCAGGAATCGGGAATAGAGTCCGTTGCTACCTTGGCGGCCGACTTCCGTTCGTCGCGAACACGATTGCCCCACCTTCTTCGTGTTCTCTTCGCTCGATTTCCTGGCGAGACAGTAATCGAACATACCAGACGGCCCCTTCGAAAGGACAATCTCCGTCACTGGCCATTTCGAATCTCCCCCTTTTTAACCGCGTTGCTCGTCTTTAACGGACTTTTGCTTCGTTACGCGTTCACTCGCGGAGCGGGTATGTCCCTGCCGGGTGGACGAGTCGCGAGTAAATTAATTACTTTTCCTGGTCGAATAATCGCATCTGTGATCCCGTATCAGGGCGGAGATCCGATCGATCGATCGATCGATCGGGGATGAAAGCGAGGTTTGCGAATGGTAATCGCGAGCCCCCTTTTTCCTTCTTTTCCTCTTTTTCCTGAAAGTTGCTCTCGGTGTCTCGGCACGGCGACAAGACCGAAGCGTTAACCCCGGTTGCCCTGTTCCCGGGACGACGTTTCGACGACCCGGAACTTTCTATCGTTAGCGAGTAATTCTCCGAAAGTTTGGAATCCGACGTCGCCGGAGTTGCACTCTCGGTACAGTGGCGTCCGTGGGAAGAGTTATTCCTTCTTTGAAATTTCCTCGTGCCACGCGAGAGGAGAACTTGTACGAAGAACTCGGAATTTTCTCTGTATCCGTCGACCTTACAGTCTCGTTAATGCGAGAAAAACCCCCCACCTCGACAACCGGCTGTTCCATAAATCATTTTCTTCCCGCGAAATCTATTCGGCCGAGCTTCGGCGATTACGTCGACCGTTCGTTCGTTCGTTCGTTCGTTCGTTCGTTTGAATTCCCGCGAAAGCAGCTCCGAAAATTACTCTCTCGCTCTCGATCTCGCGCATGCAAACCTATCCTCGAGCTAACAGTTGGCGCGTTGGTCCCGCGTTGCGAGACTGGAATTCGTCGAATCTAGAAGCTGGCTGGAAGACTGCGTGCAAAGTTGGCGGAATTCGTGACTCGCGGGATACTTGGGTCGACAGCCCTAAGTCGGCAAGTTCCGAGCTGGCTTATACGAGTTCGAAAACTCGCCGAAAGGGATTAAGCCGGAGACTGCTTGCTCGTAATGGAACTTGCTCTCCAGTTTCGAGACGCTTCTTGGAAATGGCCATTAGAGCCACTTTAAAGACTGCACTGCGAACGAACTCTTGCCTTTCGAACGTTCCACGGAATTTCTTCTTTTGCTCCTTGCCCGTCTCTCCCGTACGAACGCTTTGTCCGCCAGACGTTCATTCATATTTCCTCCTATCGCCCCGAGCGAAGCGCCAGATAAAGCCGAGACGTTTATCCGGTAAACACGCTTATCCGCGGTGAAGAAATCATCGGACGCGCGCTCGATTATACTTTTCGGCCGTCGCGACAAAATTCCAACCAGCGCTCGCGGTATAGCCGGACGCGTTTCATCCGCGTTGCTTATTAAACAGCAGAAGAAACGAACCGTGTCTGGATGTTCGTCACCCGACGAATAACGGTACCATCTTCCCTCGCGCTTCCGTCTTCCGTTTCCCGATCCGCTATGGGATCCTCAGCGATACCGAGTCCCGCGAAGGAACTCTCTCGCATTCTCGTAGGCGAGGAAGGGGTTGCGGGCAGGTGAGCAATCTTTCCCTCCACGAGGCACATCTCGTTCCTCGCGTTTCTCGTTAAACGTGTCAACAGCTTCTTTATAAAGTAGCCTCGCTGCTCGAGTCGTGGATTAAACGCGTCCCCTTCGAATCGAGCGGAAACCCGAGGTTAGGGCCCCGCGAACCGGTCGCACCTGCTTTTCTAATCGAGAACACCAGACAAAGGGGGAGTCGGCGTTCAGAGGTGAGAAGAAACCTGCGTGCAAGGTCAGACCGGCAGAGACTGATAGCGATTATCTCGATTTTCGCGAGTTCGTTAACGCGATTCGACGTCCTCGACGAGGTAATACGCGCGTACGTGTACGCGTATCGCAGGTATATAGAGAACACAGACGCGCGCGCGCGCGCGCGTTCTTTTTTCTCTCTTCATCGACGAGCATCGATTCGCCGGTACGCGCGTCGAGCTCAATTAACAATCCAAACGAATGCCAGCACCAAGCCAGACGTCGCAACGGCCGAAACTCGAAATACCCTCGGTGGACAGAGCGATTCATTCGAATGTAAATATCGGGCAAACACCCCAGCCGACGAGGGGGTTGGCCGGCCGCCAATCTCCCTCGCTCCGGGACTCGCTCAAGTTCACCTGGTATGTTCGACTCGTAAACTTCCTCTTGTTTCTGCCTTGGTTCGATCCTCTGCGCACCCCTTTCGCCGTTCCCCGTCTCGAGGTTCCTCTGCCATTTTCATCGGCCTCGTCTCATCTTTATACCTGCGCCTGGGATATCTAGCCGCTTTAAAGAGTCGTTCAGCCAATAGGGGTGGTTGGCCGAGTCTGCACCGGCAGCCGAAAGAAAACGACCTCTCCTCGTGGCACGTGGGAGGAAGCGCGGACGGGAGGGGTTGGTTGGTCGGTGGCGAGCGCGGCGGGGGGGGGGGGGGGGCGAAGCGGGATACCGTTGGATACGGGTGGCGAGGGAGAGAGATCGGCGACGCTGGATGAGAATGAAACGGAAGGGGAGGTGGCGCGAGGGAGGGGAGAATGCAGGCCTGGGGGTTAGAGTGGCAGAAAGAGAAACGCGGAGAGTGGCGAGGGTCGCGGAACACGGAGAACGGGGTGGATGGAAGTCGGGCTGAAGCTGCGAACCCAGAATGGGAATCGGCACTCGAGAATGGCAAAAGGGGGTGCGTAGCGTGGAAAGTAGGTGGGGCACGGGTGGCTGGCTGGATGGGGTTGGGGCGGCGGTCGGTAGCTGTATTGATTCTCGGGCAGGTCAGGCTGGTGGGGGCAAGGATAGTGGGGGCGGCTGGTGGTTGGCGCGAAACACATCCCTGCCCGGCCGGAGCTAACGCAAAACATCAGCCTACAAATTGGCGAATTTCGTTCCCCGACTATCCGGAATTCCGGTAACTTTGCATCCCGTGTCTAGGCTTTTAAACTACGCGTCCCTCGCGTGCGCGCGTGTATAACTCGCGTGATTTCGGCGTTCTCGTGGTCGGACGAAACGAAGAAGCGACTCGGTCCTCTCCCGGCCCTTATTTTATTCCGTTTTACGTTCGAGTCTGCTGCACCGCGATATATACGCGCTCCCGCGTTCATCGGGGCGCCTAGTCATCGTGGAAACACGCGAACGATGCATTCTAGGGGCTATGAATCGTTAACGAGCCTGTCCAGGTACCCGGCTAGCTTTCCCATTTATTCCGTATCGACGGAAATACTTCCGCTTAGCGATAGCGCCGTTACCCGTCCGACACGAGAGCGGATTCGGTGGATCGTATCGATTCGTTCGATCAGCGTATACATAGACCGACGTCTGACATTTTTAAGCGAATCCGTTGCTCGCTCGATTACCGTTTCCAAGCGAATCGAATATGCGCATACGTGTATATATCGCCTTCTCCTCGCCCTGGAATTTCTCCATTCGATCAAACGCTCCACGATGCTTCGTTCCTTTGTGCGCTACTCAATTTCGCGGTAATTAAATTTGCATCGGAAGTTTCATGAAAGTTTAATCGCGGGGGACCCCGCGAGAGAGAGGCGACTGACCCCTGCAAAGATCGAATTATTACTCCGATGGAAAAAAAAGGGCGAAAAAAGAGGGTAAAAAGGAATTCGTTAAATTCCGCCGATACAAGGGCGGAAAAAGGGGGGGTGCCCACCCTCGAGCACGCGTTCTCGAATAAATTATTCAGCTCGAAGTATTCCGGAGAATTTCGTTTCCGCGCCCCATGAATTATCCAGCAATTATATTTACGTTCCCAAACGCC